GCACCCCTTGCAACAGCACCCGAAATAATCATTCTGCACAGCAGACTCTGGCCCCAACCCAGCCGTAATCTCACAGAGTCCCGTACCCAACGAGGAAGCACACGGCCTGTGAAGAATACTATAGCGAGCACAGACGAGGAATTCAAAGCACTGACCGCTTACTCACAGCCAGTTATGCGGGAGTCAGAAAGCTGAGGACTGTTCATGTCGGCTTACAAGGATGTCCAGTCTGTCCACTTCTGTCACTTTCTCCTCAAGATCGGGCTCCTGGAAAAGCGCAGCTGCAAAAGCCAAACATGAGCCATCACTGCACAAAGCTCTATTGGTGCTTCAGAGCTTGGCCTCATCCTAGTCTCCCTCTCCAATGCCATCTACGTTGGCCCCACTCGATGGACAGAGACCGAGTTAACATCGACAATCACAGCCCTGCATGATTTTCATCCCCTCCTACTTCTCCATGGCTCCCGAGACATAGCCTGTGGGGATTCACACGTAGCACGCCTGCCCGTGTCCTACGAAGAGAGATGGCACGAGGAGAGGAGAGGAGAGTGAGAAAGTTGGCCAACACACCAGAGAAGAGAGAGAGAGAGAGAGAGAGAGAGAAAATGGGAGGAAGGCAAGCAACTCACCATCTGGAGTCATCCTCCTAGATGCAACCTTCCGCTGCGTAGAAGACACCGCTCCTGGCCAGAGAAATGAGCAGACCCTGAAAATGGGGGCCTTGTCTCTCGTAAGCTCAGCTGGTCAGGAACAATTTCTTACAAACCCAGCCCCAGCTAACGGGGCGTCCCTACCTGGAGCCCTCACCAAACCAGACACTTATCTCACTGACAGTAGCGACAGCTCCACTGCCAAATGGTCGATTCCTGACTTGCATCAACAATGCTGGCAGGCTCACCGCTCTCACTCGCTTTCCATCCGACGAGGGGAGTAATCTCTGACGTTTGATTTCTTTTCCCTCGGTACTAAACCCGGCACAAGGAGGAAAAACAAATAAAGTTATCATTTCAGTGGGCAACGTCACGTAGGCTATTCTTTTCGCCGCTCCCACACGATGGCGCTCCGCCACGAATCTTCCTCCCCCACCCCATTACGCCTTTAACATTACAACTAAAAAGCAGCCCTTTCAACGGCACTCAAAATAATTACTCTGCACAGCAGACTCTGGCCCCTCCGCAGCCTAAATCTCACAGAGACCTGTACCCAATGAGGAAGCACATGGCCTGTGAAGAATACTACAGCGAGCACAGACGAGGAATTCAAAGCACTGACCGCTTACTCACAGCCAGTTATGCGGAAGTCAGAAAACGGAGGACAGTTCATGTCTGCTTACAAGGCTGTCCAGTCTGTCCACTCATGTCCACTTCTGCCACTTTCTCCTCGGGCTGGGGCTCCTGGAAAATTCCCCTGGAAGCGCAGCTGCAAAAGCCAAACATGAGCCATCACTACACAAAGCTCTACTGGTGCTTCAAATCTTGCCCTCATCCTGGCCTCCCTCTCCAATCCCATCTACCTCGGCCCCATTCGATGGACAGAGACCGAGTTATCACCGACAGTCACAGCTCGACTTTAGCGCCCACAACCCTGCATGATTTTCTTCCACTCCTACTTCTCCATGGATCCCGAGACCTGGCCTGTGGGGATGCACACCAACCAGTGTTCTACAAACGGGAATGAGGAGAGGAGAGGAGAGGAGAGGAGAGGAGAGGAGAGGAGAGGAGAGGAGAGGAGAGAGAGTGTGTTGGCCAACATACTAGAGAAGAGAGAGAGAGAGAGAGAAGAAAATGGGAGGAAAGGAAGCACCTGGAGTTATTCTCCTGGAGGTAACCTTCTGCTGCAGAGGAGAGACAGTTCCTGACCAGAGAAATGAGCAACCTCTGAAAATAGGGACCTTTTC